GTATTTGATCCAACACTTCTTCCCAGGTGGTAGACAGACCGACGCCGCCGCCAGCCGGAACGTATCCAGGTCGACCCCCGTCGAGTATGTTACTGACTTTTCACAAGGGGAGGTGTTGGGGATATCAATATCCCCCCAAAACTCTGTATTTTTATGTGTGCTAGCGAGCTTCCGGCATCTTCAAGGTCAAACTATGGAAAAATCAATGGCCCATTGATATTCCAACAAATTTAAATCCGATCACTGACATACACGAAACCATCTTTTTACTGACTTGGGTTCGGAAGCTCGGGGCATCGCTTGTTGATCGCGTGTTTTTGGATCATTAAAGTTTGTGTCCGAGGTTTTTCGTCTTCTTACTATCCGCCGTGCCAGGAGTCTGGATCAAGCAACATAGCTGGGGTTAGAGTATTACCACAATCCGCATATCATAATGTTTGCTTGCTGCGTGACCGAACCGTAACAGTCTGTAAAACGTTGAAGTTAAGCTACCAAATACGGTTTTAGGTCAAACTAGAAAAGAACTATTGACCACACAAATCGTGAACGCAAAGAGCCTCAGCTGAAACTCTACTCTCGACTTCTTGAGACACAGTGTGCTTACGCTTGATCCTTCTAACTCATCTTTTCAGTGTGCTGTTCCGTCCGTTTGGTACATTTGACAATGCTGTTATACATTCTCAGACTACCATTCTCCCATCTTGCTGTTTGCTTTGCGTAAAAATGTTCTGAAGCTTTTAGGCGCGCGTGTGTATATCACCACTCACCCTTGAGATCCCGTTGTTCTGAAAAAGGCGCAAAATCTATAGACAGCCTAACTAGGGTTCTTATTTATACCATAGTTATTCTTATTTGTAACGGATAATGCTGTTACCCCCCATATTACCACTCTGGTCCAACCGCATTAAAACGACCAACTTTAGGAGCCTTGATATTTGGCGTCACAGAGACTGGACCTTATAAAGTTTTGTATAAATATATGACCCACTAATCTACATGGGGGAGATTTTACTTCCTGACTCGCAGTGTTTTTTCGTCCGGTGCTGATCACCGGACAGTGGTCTGGCGATCACAGTCTCCTAGTCCTGTAGGTTAAGGGTCGTGATAGGTACGGAGACTTGTTCCTTAAGCAATTGTACTGCTAAAGTTGTACGCTAACACCTACCTACTGACTTTCTGTGAGGTTTTGGGTCAAATACGTTGACCAAGTAACCCAACTGTCCTCATTTCCAAATGCAGACCTCCTGGCAGTAATCCGACCCACGTATAACCATAAACGTCCTAACAAACATAAGTATCTTGCCACATCAGCATTCTCATACTGTCATCAGAAGGTTTGCCTTGCTTGTTGAAAACAGCACAGCGGTAGGCAAAATTATTAATTCTGACACTACATTTCTCATACTTGCACGTATTCTATCTGCTACCCCACCAGGATCCAATTTGAAATGTCTCTCTGAAGGTACCAGCATTGCGACTGACACTTCTGTTTGTCATGTGTAGCGCCCAGCTTCCGTGTGTTCGACTTGTCCCCCAACCCTAAAAACATCAAATACTGACTTGAAAACGCAAGGTGGTCTGCTTGGCTTCTTTGATGTTCACAAACTTGTACGCCGTATTCCGTCTGAATTGGTGTGCGCTGTCCTTCAGAAACAAAGATACAAGGCGCACTTCTGGTGACGCGTGGGCTGCTACAAATGGATATGCCATGGTGGGTATTGCGTTGAGGCATCAAGCGAAAATATCTATATTTGAGGCATCAATGCCACGTAATGGCGCTGTCGACAACGATTTTGTTTGCTCCTGTCCAAATCTTTCTACTTTCCAAAGCGCATTTATTTTTAACTCTAAACGTGGTTTACTTTCTGTGGTCTCTTCAACCTCAATCACAATGGCTCTTGGTGTCAGATGCAGCGTAATGTCACTAGCCCGTCGATGGCACTCCACTGACTGGCAACCTAAGGTCTCTGATGCTTCTACGGGTCATGGCCTTCCTTATAGACTACTATTAAGAAGAATACGTGGATTGTACAAGTGCTTCCACCCCCAGTGTACAGCAACCTCCCCCACTTCACCGAATCATCGGTGAACGAAACTGTGGCAGCTACAACCGCTGTACGACAAGTACGCGGTCACTAAACCTGAGAGTGATGATAATGATGATTACATGGATTTACAGATGTTTAAACTAGTATTCCACCTTATCTGTTGACCTATATAATAATATCAGTGAGAAGTAACCGAATAGTAAAGCTGCATAATTATCTGTCAACAAGAACAATCGACTTGCAGAAAATAGGATGATAGTTTGAGTTATTTTAATTTACTCATTTCGTCTTTTTACTTGTAACAGATATAAAGTTGGATATAAAAAGTTATATCTGAGCTATAAAACAAAAATAACATATCAAGTCTTAAGATTAAGGTGCTTCATGCATTTTAGGTCAGTAAGGTAATTCTGACTATTCTATTATAAATTTCAGGATTGTTGAAGGAGAGATCGCATTAAGTCAAATGTTACGGGTATTGAGTGCTGCTGACAGTAAAGGTACCACTTTGAACTTTCACAAGAAGCACTGAGAATGAATCGTTGTTCAGGTAAAAGGCCGACCACGGAGTGTACTGACTCGTATTAGCAGACAGTTTAGTTATGCTATATTTCGGACAGTCCTATTGATACAAACGAAACGTGCACCACCTGTCACTACCATTTCCTCATTCTTGAATGGAACAAAGCCTGAAACAAGGATGTGGTTAGCCTGATAGGGGAATCTTTCCACGTTTTCCCTGGTCTATTGATCTTCATAAATAAATTTTGGAAGCCTATGTCATACTTGTTGGCAAGATGAAGCTAAAACAAGCTTGTGACATCATAAAATATTAAGGCAAAAATATATTCTCTCTAAATAGCATCTCCGTGAGTAATATCATGGTGGGCTCGAACATGCTACCGCGGAAATACGGCGAGAAATAGGACCCTGTAAACTCTTTCAAAATCACGATTATCACATTCTACACAGCAAACTGCAATGCATGCACGGATCTCGGAACCAAAGGCCATGTATTCATAGGATTTTTATGGGGATCATAAAGAATTAGAGGAAATTACTTAACTATTTGCCATCAGCCTGGTCCGTAACAAATTTGGCGTGGGTGATATACCGGGCAAGAATTTAGGATTCGTACATATCTTGCTGAGAAGTGAGTCTAGTGCTTATTTTGTGTTTTGGTTTACGGTGCGCAATCTGAATATGAAGGTCCAATAATCCGGTCCCGACATATTCACTTACTACGTTCCTACCACGGCGAAGCGTTTAGTGGATTGATTTTCAGAATCCCCAACTTCTACTTTTTAGTTATTGCTTGCAAATGTCAAAGCACACAACTTGTTAGGCATAAGGTCCTCTTCAATACCCTTTTACAATAAGTGCCGGTGTTCACACTCACAACTAATTTAAAGAGTGTTCTTTAAAAAACGAAAACACTGATCACAGTTAATCTCGGTTGGGGAGAATTCACAATTCCTACATATGAACATCAGCCATGGAAAGGAACCATCTAGTACAAAAACATCCGTAGTTAGTTATTGCAATCCAGATATTTGTACGTAAAATATGGCACGGAGGCCAGTAAAAATCAACCAGGAAGTAGCAATTCACTTTCCGCAATGTCTGATTAAATGCTGTGTGAATGTCTGGATCTCAGCATACAAGTTCAACTTATTTTAGTTTACAAGGCACGTGATCTTCAATAGATACCGAACAGTAAGTAGTACTACTTTCTAAATTCCCCGTGGAGTTGGCAGTGAAGCACTAACAAATATGACGGCACCCTGCTAACCCCAAACACATTCACATGAAACAGAAAATATTCAAAAGAAATTTGCCTCAAATCTTGGATTTGTTTTTACGCAGTGCAAACTGGTGAAATCGTAGTTGAATGGGTCCTGGGCACCTAAATTTTCGGCAAAATGTGAAGTCAAACAACCTGATGAATACCAATCACGCTTTTGACTAATCGAATTGGTCGAAGAATTTTTTGTCTAATAGTTGTATCATGACTTGTTCTTATGATGGCCGGGATTTAATAAAAACTACTGATTAATTAACGGAATGTTTTCTGAAATTTTGGTGACCTTCTGTGAAAGTTATGAAGAAACGGCAGAAAAGGTGATATGGTGAACCCTCAGGACGATTGTCCTTAGTCATTCATATCAGAGTGCCCACTCCAATTTTAAGCTGGACCATATTCTTATTCTTGCCCCTTGACAGGGCAGGTAAAGCAACTCAGCTCTTCTTCCTTGTGACCAGCGTTGGACAAAATGGTCTCTGCCCTCCTAGTTCCGAAGCATCTATCAGCTCACCATGGACAGTAACAATGTCGATGTGACAAGATGCGCCCTCATTTTGGAACCCATATTGGTTGTAACAGCACCAATTCATCGACGCCGATGCTACAGCATATTAAAATATTGACAGTTCCGGGACAAAGAAGTTTGGCAGTTGAAATCCACATCATTAGACAATGCGATGTCAACAGGGTTAGAAACCCATCTCAGGATGCAGTCATGATCGCTCGTTTCTACCAACCAAGGAAAATGATTGTCCTTATAGACTCGAGTAGACTGAAAGTATTCTTCGGACCGCAACTAAGAAAAGAGGTATCAAGAAAAAAATTATGAAACAAACTATCTATTGCATGCGTATGATGCGAACCGTGGTTTTATCAGGTTATAGCGAAGTTTTGCGAACGTACGGTGCTTGCTACTTCTGAACACACTTTGCTATGCAGTTTTTTAACCTTCTTCTCTTATATAACGATGCAGTTACTACAGACTTCAGTGGGTCCCAAGTAAATGATTAGGGCTTATTAAGACAAGCAGGGTAGTAAAAAAGTAAACCTGCTACAGTCTCGAATTCTCCGTACGCAGCATTTTTTGCTACTTTCTGCGAGTCTGAATTGCGAACTCCGAATGTGTTTAGTTACGTGGTTTTTTGGCATCATCACATCTCTGTGAAAGTCATTGACCTTACATAGAATGTTGAAGACTTTGTGTCAAACCTTTCTTACATTTGAAGAAGTATTGTCTTTTAGATCTTATAACTGACTTTCGGATAAAATTCACCTTGTTTTGTCTTTTCCCTAGAATAAAAAGCTACACAGGAGTATAATTTCTCCCGGTGGTTTAGTTTTGTTGTGAAACAGTTTCATAATGTAAGGCAGTGGTAGTGCGAGAAGTGAAAGATATATGTGGTGTTGACAATCCTGGCTACCTTGGAACATTAAGTAGTTCTCGAAACAATCAGATAAACTGAAATCTCTTTCCTAATAAATGGAAAGCAGCAATGTGGCTTCAGAACCAAGAGTTCAGGAATTTCAGGAATCAACATATAACAAGTCATGCCCAAGTATCTTATATATATATATATATATATATATATATATATATATATATATACCTCAAAATGTTCCGCCTTATCGCATTTATTGTGGCCTACCACTTCAGTGATTCCGTGAGCTATGTTGGTTGTGAATTCTTTCCTCACACTCTGGATATTCCGGGGAGGCTACAGCGGAACGATCAGCCTAAAAAAGTAAGTTCACTTGGTGCAGGCACATACATGTGGCGCGAAGCACTATTCAGGCAAAATAGTACTGTTAGCTGCAAATGAAGTGACTTATGGGTAAGGCGTTCCTCCAAATTGGCCAGTATCACCGCATTTTCCAAAGTAGGCATGCTGTCTCCAAGAATTGGCCGTGGGTCAGTAAGACAAGGGATCAGAAAAGACCGAAGGTACTGAGGAATTAAAAGTGACACTAGTTAGCAATACAAAACGAAAAGATTGAAGACCATATGACTCTCGCTTGGAACCTGAAACGCTAGATTCCTTCAAGGAAGTGGCGGATTTCCACGGGGCCAGAAGTCTTTAGATTGAAGCTGCATTGTTTTCAATGCACACAGGATACCAAGAACAACCGAACGCGGAATACATTCAGAGAAATACTGGCAATGTACCTTTCTCAGAGCTAATTTACAATCTATCCATCAAACATTTAGACCATGTAGCACAGTGACCTCAAATCACTCTGGAGATGGACCTCTCCAGCCCACCTAAGAAAGGTGGAAATCGAGAGATAATAATGAACCATAGAGGAAAAACACTGCCGATTACTGAGCATTACTTACAGAATTGTTCAAATCAAGTAGACCACATGTATATATTCGTAAGTCACTGCTCACAAGGTTGTTGAAAATTCGTCGGCAGCCCACCCCACGACCGGTTTCGCCCCTTTTGGGGCTCATCAGGTAGGCGCAGTCCCGGGTTTCCATCAACCTTATGTTCTACTTGAAACCAAATTGCACGAAATTAGCCAATATACACTCATTGGTAAACTAATTTGGTTCTTCCAGAAACCCACCTGGAACCCAGCTGAATCTCTCCTTTGTGATGTTTCCAAGCAACTGAGTGCGTTGCACCAGGCCGCCTCATGTTTCAGTCGCTACAATATTCAGGATATTGTGATACATGTATATTGCAATTTGGTTTCAAGTAGAACATAAGTTGATGGAAAACCTTATGAGTGGTGCATTACAAATATATATATGTATCGCGATATCTCGAATATCGTAGCAACTGAAACATAAAAAATTCCGCTGCTCATTGCTATACCCTCATGTTTAAGTCGACCGCTGGCTCTTAAGAAGCATTTGTGCCTGCACACCCTGACCTTATTCCATCGGATTCGTGTCGATATCAGTGACTTGAACCCAAATGAATTTCACCAAAGTCACTTACTCTCTAGGTACTGTGCAAGAATCCAGCGCATCAATGTTGTTGACTGGCGGATCCGTCAATCACTCATTCTCTCTGCAAAACTACGATTCCCATTAAAAGGCTTTGTCTACGTTTGACTTCTGTAGTGTAAAGCCAGCTTAGTTGAACAGGTTAGGCATATCAGGTGGCTTTTTTCTGAGTAAATAATTCCTAGATGAAACGATGTGCATGAGCGAAATTCGCAACCGACTCCAACCAGTATTTAGCTTAACCTGGGAGCATGGCTACTAATGAGTAATCAGATTATGCGTCAGAGCCTCAATTGATTTCATAGGGGAGAATTGATAATTAGGCAAGAACATTCAAGCCATTGTCGTTTTTTCATGCCCATATATTTTCAAAGATGATTCCATCTGCTAACTTATTCACAGACCTTCCCTTGAACAGAAACCATTTGTTGAAGCTAAAATTTTGAATGGCTCAGTATTTATTCTTTCAAATAATAGAGGGATACTGGGAGTCAAAATAGAAAAAAAACTAAAATTTTCAACGTAAGGCTCTGCTCGGAGGTTTAAATTGTGAAAGTCCAAAGCATAGCATCAACGTACTATCAATATTCGACTAGATCGGTTATTTTATCTTCACAAACTCACCACCAGGTGTTTTAAGGGGAAGGGTACTAAACCAACAGTCTAATATCAACAAGTACGCCATCATCCAGCGCTTGACTCGGAGATTTGTGTGCGTAAATATCCTGGTCACGTGGGCATCAAAAAGAAAAATGCTGGTAATACCGTGCGTTACTAACTTATTGCCATTCTGTTAGTTTTTCTAACACATCCTTGCTATCTTATTGCAGCACTGATCACAGCGAAACTTTCGTCTGAGATCATTACACGCGACTGGTAACAGAATTAACAAAAGCATATGCGCCTCAAACACCTGAAAACTATCGTTGCACCTCAAGAAGCCGAAGCTCGAATAAGTTGTATTGCATGGTCCCCGAACAACAAAAAGTTGGCCGTGTGTAGCCATGATAATATCGTTTCAGTTTTTGATGAGAATGGAGAGCGCCGAGACAGATTCGCAGCAAAAGCGGCAGATTCGAAAAGTTCCACAGGTGGAAAGAAAATGTTTGTTGTCAAATCCATGGTCTTCTCACCAGAATCCACTAAACTGGCCTTGGCCCAGTCGGACAATATTATTTTCGTCTACAGGCTTGGCGAGAACTGGGAGGAGAAAAAAGCCATTTGCAACAAATTTCCGCAACAGAGTGCGGCCATATGTCTTTTGTGGCCTCCCGGACAACCGATCATTTGTGGTCTGGCAGATGGCAAAGTTAGAGCAGCGAATACAAAGACAAACAAATCCTCAACTATCTATAACGCGGATTCCTACGTAGTGTCCATGTCGCTGAACAATTCTGGTAAAGGATTTGTATCCGGGCACGCTGATGGAAAAATTGTTCGTTATTTTTTTGACGATGAAGGTTCGGGTGATACACAAGGAAAACTCACCACGCATCCGACTGCTCCATACTCTCTAACATGGGCTGGGTCTACCATACTGGCTGGTGGCTGCGATCGGCGCATTTACGTTTACAATCGTCAGGGTAGAGTAATACAACAGTTTGACTACAGCAAAGATGACACGGAGAAAGAATTCACAGTTGCCGTCTGCAGTCCCAGTGGACAAACCGTTGCATTTGGGAGCTTTGATCGGATACGTCTGTACTCGTGGAGTCCGAGAAAATCAAGCTGGGAAGAATGTAAACCTAAAGAAATAAAAAACCTCTATACAATCACGGCAATGTCCTGGAAGCGAGATGGTTCCAAATTGACAGTGGGTACGCTGTGTGGTGGGGTAGAACAATTCGACTGTTGTATGAAGCGGAAGTTGTACAAGGGCACTTTCGAAATGAACTACGTTGGTCCAAGTCAAGTCATTGTGAAGAACATTAAAACAAGCGAACAGATTGTACTCCAGTCAAATTTTGGCTACGAAATCGAAGAAGTTCGTGTCATGGGTTGTGATCGGTATCTGGTCGCACAAACTTCTGACACCCTTATTTTGGCTGATATAAAAGGAAGTCGTCTTAGTGAAGTACAATGGAATAATAAAGGTCATAAATCGAAATTCTATTTTGGCTACACAAATTTGTGTATTATTTTCGGTTTGGGAGAGTTACTGATCGTTGAGTACGGGATGAACGAAATTCTGGGTTCAGTGCGAACCGAATTCACTAATCCCTATTTGATCAGTGTGAGAATAAACGAGCGGCGAGTGGGAGGTGGTGAGATCAACAAGAAGATTGCCTATATGCTTGATTTAAAAACTATTGCAGTTATGGACCTAATCACAGGGGTTACAGTTAGTCAGATTCAGCATGATACCAAGGTAGACTGGATTGAATTGAATGAAACTGGACACAAACTACTGTTTCGTGACAAAAAGTTTCAACTGTTACTTTTCGACACGGATACCGGAACAAAAACCGTACTCCTCACCTTGTGCTCCTATGTCCAATGGGTTCCACAAAGCGACGTCGTTGTGGCTCAGTCACGCGACAGTTTGTGTATTTGGTACAATATTGAGGCAACCGATCGCGTTACTTCTATCCCAATCAAGGGCGGTGAGATTTTGGACATTGTAAAGCAGAATGGCAGAACAGAAGTTCTGGTTAGCGAGGGACTTACTACAGTTTCCTATGCTTTGGATGACGGATTAATCGAGTTCGGCACAGCAATGGAGGACAAAGATTTTGCCCGCGCTGTGTCATTTCTGGAGAGTTTGGAGATCAGTCCGGAGACCAGGTCCATGTGGACAAAACTGGCCAAAGCAGCACTTAAGGCAGAAGATCTTTTGGTGGCTGAACGATGCTACGCCGCCTTGGGATCAGTTTGTAAAGTTCGCTACCTGCGTGCTACCCGTGATCTTCACCAGGAAGTGAATAATCAGGACTATCTGATCAAGGCACGTATCGCAATGTTGGAAAAAGACTTCAAAACAGCCGAACATGTGTATTTGACTCAAAATGCGATTGATGAGGCCACTACTATGTACAAAAGTCTGCGCAAATGGGAGAATGCAATCGAGGTAAGTCATGCTAAGGCGATGGATCAAGCTAATTCGGTCACATATCATATATATAGCATACATATAGTATATAGTAGCATATATATGATATATATAGTGGTATATATATAGTAATATATGTATAATAGTATATGTAGTATATAGTATATAGTAATATATATCTAATATATAGTA